TCTCCCGTGGCGTGTCTGGAGGCTGGGCTGAGATGATTTTGCTTTGTTTCCCTTTGTCTCTTTTTGCTTCCCCTTGTCTGCCTCGGATGCTGGGCTCAGATGATCTTGCTTTGTCTCCCTTTGTCTCCCATGGCATGTCAAGATGACTTTGCTTTGTCTCCCCTTGTCACGTTTCGGGTTGCAAGCGGGATTGCGAAAGGTTGTGACGGGAGGTTTGGGCACCTGTGTAGGGTTGCTTTTTGACCTGGGCGCTTGCCTGCGAGTGGGGAGGCCGTGGAAGGGTTTCCTTTTGACCTGTTTGGGTGCTAGCCTGTGTGCGGGAAGCCCTAAACTTGTCGAAACAGCGCAGTGCAAAATAATACCTGCGCCCCAAACCATGTCAATAAAGAAGCTTGGGAGGCACGGCCCCAAATGTACCGGGTCCGTTTGAAACCTTGTCGCCACCTCAAAACAGGTCGAAAAAGAACCTTGGGAGGCACTGCCCCAAATCCACCAGGTCCGTTTGAAACACTGACGCAAACTTGTCGAAGCAGCACCTAAAACAGTGCAAAAAAGAACCTCGCGCCCCAAACCATGTTAATAAAGAACCTTGGGAGGCACGGCCCCCAAATTTACCGGGCCCGTTTGACACCTTGGCGCCTCAAAACAGGTCAAAAAAGAACCTTGGGAGGTGTTGCCCCCAAATCTACCAGGTCCGTTTGAAACCCTGAGTCGCAATAGCGCCCGAAACAGTTCAAAAAAGAACCATGCGCCCCAAACCATGTCAATACAGAACCTTGGGAGGTACGGCCCCAAATGACCGGGTCCGTTTGAAACCTTGGCACCTCAAAACAGGTCAAAAAGGAACCTTCTCCCAAATGTACCAGGTCCGTTTGAAACCTTGAGGCAAACGTGTCGAAACAGCGCCCAAAACAGGGAAAAAAAATAAAACCTAACCTAACCATCATCATTAACTGTTACAGGGAATAGGATACACCCAAGGTAAAGAGTCCATACATAGATGTTTTTGAAAGCTGCATCTCTATTGCATATGTTTCACTTCGTCAGGAGAAGTCGCTCGCAATCCCGCTGGTTCCAGCACATCACAATAGCATGCAGATCTGCACTCACACACATAACAATGACATAACCATAGAGGTCATTCACCCACCCGATTGTAGCAGTGTTCAATCTAGAATCATGGGGGTGTGCCATTCTTGCCACACCATTCCTTCGATTCGTGCTCTCACATGATTTTTCAACTGAGGCTTCAGTGCTTTGCGGACGAGTGGCCTGAATAGAACATGAATGGCTCCCGAGAGCGATGCCTTTTGCGGGGGTACCATTTGAGGGGGGGTTACTATCCCTCAAGGGCTCCAATCGTAAATCCCTGGGCATATTTAGACCCTCCAAACACCTCTCTCAGAAGGTACGACTTGAGCCCTAATGTAGACTGATTATTAAGACCCCCAATATAAAGATGATGTCCCCAAACAGGAGGGTATATTATAATCAGTTTACATTAGGGTACATCATTTGGATTCGATCCTGGCTTCTCGCTGCTTGGCTGACTAGCCCGGCTTCGCACTAGCAGGGACCTCCGATCGGCTCGGCCGCGTTTTTTTCGGACGGAACCAAGCGTGACACCCCATCCGGCGATTTCTTTCAGTGCCCTTCTGATTCTGGAAGAAGCCTTGGAAGAAGACCATCCATCATATCCATCATTTTTGAACATCCTCAACACCTTGCCCCGCTCTTGGCTCGAACCTCGCTCGCGAGTGTCGTCGTGACTGGTGCCATCTCCCCAGTCTTCCGGAAGTGACCGATGATTCCGGAGGCAAGACGTTTTGAGGATCGCGTGGGAGGAGCGTGGATTCCGGAGAGGGAACGAGGTCGAACCCAGTCCACGAAGCGCAGGGGGAAACTCCACTTCCATCCACTTCCAATTCGATTGGCAACTCAGAGACCCGCCAATCAACTCAGAGACCCGCCCCCTAGTCACAACTGAACTGAAGGGAAGCAGGAAGTGAAAAGCAAACACATCACATGCTGATTGGACGCTTTTCCTCCACATCCACCCATGACCCACAGACCATCACAGACCCACACTGACACCTGGTTCTGCTTGAGGGGACCTTCTTTTTCGCTGGTGGCCTGTTTCGGAGCCTCGTTCGGAGCCGAAACGAGCCAGACGCCCAGGTACCACGAGGTGACTGGGGTGAATCTGGACCGAAAGCTTCTGTGGCAGAACTACAAGATCTGCCAGGCAGGATGCAAGGACCCAAGCACGATCTGGGATCTGGGGAACTGCCATATATGCTGAGAAAAGGTGACTGGGGGTGGTTGACCTGGGGTGAATGTAGGCATGTATGCCTTCGTTCTGAGTCGCGTTTGGGCGTTAGTTGTGACATAGTTGTGAGTTGGTGGCCTCACAGGATCCATAAGAATCCCCCGGTTGAAGAAGATGGCAGGGCATATTGTTGATGGACTCTTTGCAGCAAAGCTGCTCATGAAAGCATCATCCCAGACGATCGATCCATGCTGGTGCAACAAACATATCACCAACATGCACCACTCCAACAAACACCACCATGTAGGCTACCCAGATGCTCCATGGGACTGCCATTATAGGGGTGGTTTTGGGGGTTGACCATTATATATATATGCCATTATATGCCGATCGTCGCATATTTACTGTACATACATTGGGTGGTTGACCTGGGATCAATGAACACCCATGTCCCAGACATTCCATGTAATAGATGTTTTTATCGATATACAGATGCCTACATTGACCCCAGGTCAACCACCCCCATGTATGTACATATATTGCATGTCCAGTCTTTTGATGGCCTTTTCAGCCGGGACTCCCGTCGCTGCAGCGAGGCAGGCGGGATCGCTGGTTGCTGTGCCAACGTGCAGTGGTGCTTAAGGCGTGGAGGCTGCGACGTGGACGGGACCCAGAGAGGTTCCCCAAAGAAAGGTCAGACTCAGGGACCTGGTTGGGTTACTTTTTGTTCCTCTCACTTGTCACAGCTTTCACCAGTGAGTTTGGATGGCACTTTTGATCGTTTTGGGCCATATACCAATTATGATTCTGGGTTGCGAGTGTGCGAGTGTAGTGTGGTGTGAGCTGGTTTGGACTTCACCACCCATGGCGACATTTGCTATTGTCAAATGTGTTCGACTTTGAATCGGAAATACAGTGGAATGCATCCACCAGGCCTTCTCCATGTATGGCATAGATATGCCTCCATTGACCCCTGAAATCACATGAAATCACTTGAATGCAGGGAAATATGGCATATATGAAGTGTTTGGGAATGGATAGAGGACCGGAGACTCAAAAGCCTCCTTTTGGACGAACACCATGTGCCCCTGGACGCCTTGTGATCTGTGATCTCCAGGCTCATGGACAAAAGCACCTGGAAGACGATCCCCAATCGCTTTGACAAGCCACTGGGCGGCGCCGAACCCGCCCGCATCCGCGCCACACCGTGACGCTTATATACGTCCGCGACGTGTGTGTGTGTGTGTGAGAGGGCTGGCGCGTGGCACGCGTCAGATGCTAGATGGAAAATGCCCACCTCAAACACCTTCTTAGAACCCTAGATCCTCCGGAAGTACCTGCTCAGAAGGTATGACTGGACCCTGCTGGCACCCACCCCAAAGACCTTCTCAGAAAGGGGAAGGCACTTGGAGCCCTAGGGATAGTCAAGGGTGCCTAGAAACCACCCAAACTCCGTGGTGGTAGAGCCTCTATTACAGGTCTAGTAACAGGTGACCTGGCAGTGAGGATGCTCGTTCTTCGACGCATCGAGGCGTATAGACGACACCTTCCTGCTACGGTGCTCCTGGGCTGCCAACGCTCCGGAGGTGGTGGGCGGGGGGAAGGCCCCTTGCCTTGCATCAGTGGCGGGGGCTTTCCTGCGCTTGACCATCGTTGACCTCAATAGATTGACGTAACAAAAACAACGTCCCAAAACCATCCAAACACCTATATGCCCAGAGTTCCATACAACAAAATACCTATAGAATCTATTTTTCGTTTACAGTACCAAAAAGATAGCCCCGGAGTTCCACTTGTGGGGTCTTCGTTCCATGTAGCGCGACGTTCCTCCACATCCAGACGACGTTCGGACAGCTTGCCCTCCTGAAGATGAACCAATGAACCCCCAACAGCACGATGGTGTCGGTAGAGGGAAACATGGCCTTCCACCACCACCACCACGGGCCAATTCTCAGGGTCCATGTTGTATCGTTTGCAGTGGTGTAACCGTTACTTACCACCAAGACCCAACATGGGTCTTTGCTGGGTTGCACGGAGTGAGGTCTAGTAGTTCCATGGGGGACAGGCTGCTATCCATGGAGGAAGAGGTGCTATCCATGGCACCCCCGATCACATCCACGACAACTGGGATGAAACTCAAAACCACCTAGACCCTAGGGCTCCAAGTGCCTTCTAAGAAGGTGTTTGAGGTGGGTTTGGAGGGTCCAAATACCTTCTGAGGAGGTACTTGGAGCCCTTGGGAAAGTCATGTTCATTGGGTGGTGTGCGGGACGCCGCAGCAGAAGAAGATTTAATTCACAATCGCCACCCAGAGCACTTCCATCAGAACAAGTCCGTTTGTCCACTACAGTAGCTTCAAAATAGATGGCCAAGGTGTGCGTGTGTTCATTTTTAAGATGGTGATCCATATATTGATAAATAAACCACCTTTTGGGGACGGGGATTGTGCCATCTACTTTTAAACCACTGTAGTGCCATGGGCCACCTCACTTGGTGCATAGGAGCCACTTCACCGTGACAGGGACACGTCCACGGATTTGCCAAAGCTTTTCCTCCTCGGTATCACCAAACATATCTCATTGGCGCTTTTTTCGAAGGAGAGGGGGTACTGAAGATGGAGGGTAAACGTGCCATCCGTGCCATCCGGTCTGAAACTCCTTTACTTTTCCCCACCACCAGTCGTTCGACGGGCCCTCCGGGCCCAGGTTACTTCGTTCAAGTGGAGCTCATCCTGGCCTTGTTGCACGAACGCCTCTTGCAGACTTCGGGTTCGTTGGACGACGCGGGTAGAGAGGGTCCCCGACCTGAGCGACATGCTGGTTGAGTGAGCCCAGACCAGACGAAGGGGACTGGAATAGTTAGTTACCTATATACATGACATGTCGAACATGCCCATGAACATGCAGGTAACTAATTATCCCGGACACTCCATGCATGTCATATTTGCATACATTGGGGTGGTTTCAGGGGTCAATGTAGGCTGCACGGTTTTTCCCGGACCTGAATGCCAGGCACACCTCGACGCCAGTGAGGTGAGTTTGATGTTCCCTTGCATCAAGAGATGAACGAGGTGTAACACCACATGCACTTGAAGGATCGGTTTTGCCAGGAAAATCAAATTCGACTCCGTCCCAGAATTTTGCTAATGTTCTTGCATTGCTATATAGTCGTTTTCTGTCCCAAAAATTGGTTTGTTGATGTTTGTTGGACATCCTGAAATCCATTGAAGTCCTTGAATTGCAGAATGGGTCTGTACAGTATTTGCATAATCTTTAATAGGGAGACCTCCAACCAATAGCTTTTTTCTCTATTTCCCAAACCGAGCTAAGGGGTGGGAACGCCTGAGAGGTCTCCCTATTCTAATGCCATGAGGGAAGTGATGGACAGTTGGTCTTCAGAGGTCCTTAGCTCGTCCATGATGAGCTAGTCACTGCGTCAGGGATTTGCGCATTTTTGCCATGGGGGTTGGTGAGACAGTAGGTCCAATTGGCTTTGGAGCACCCCAGCCAAATATTGACTGGAGTCCTGGCTGTAGACAACCAGAAGCAGGATTGATTGTGAAAATTGTGGGGAAACTTGCTTGTTCTTCGCCTTCATAGATGCAATCCCACATCCAAATGACCACTTGCACTTGCTTGTTGATGTTTATCATGTCCATGTGCTTCAAACACCAGCATCCTTGTCCGGGAGCATCCCAGTGGAATTTGGCAATCGGTGTGTTATAGAGATGAGCCACCACGACCTGGCAATGCTCCTGAGGAAGTCCATACCCTGCCTTCAAAGCACCTCGGCCAAGAGCAGCTGGAAGTATGCACTGGAAGAGGCCCACATGGAACCTGAAACCACGCCCGGTTTGTCACGAAAGGTAGCCCTTTAGGGGATACCTTGAGTTTGACTTGCGAAGCAAGTGTTGGGACGTCCGGGTCGAATAATTGATCGCTCAATTCAGACCCCCCCCCCCTATTTATTTTTTCAAAACAGACCCCCCCCCCCCCCCCTCACAAAATCAATTCCCTCGTCGGCACACGTCTTCGTGAGTGATCCTTTTTCATAGCAACCTGCCGTCTCTTGGATGTGCTTGTTGGTACTCGCCGACCCCGGAGCATCGTCGCTGCTCGAAGTGTACCACATGTGTGCCACTATGATGCCGCGCAAACGCGAGCTTCTGGAGGCACTGGCTTCGGCTCGTGTCATTTCGAGTTGTGTTTGTGCTCTATGCTTCTCGCATGGAGGTCCACCTCGACATGACGCTTGATGAGCTGATTGCGGCGCTGGCTCGTTTTTTTTTTCCTTGCTTCCACTGTCAGTCATGCACTTTTTTCTGGGGGAGCAGGGTTAGCCACCAGGAGACTGGCAAACACGCCAAAGTTGCCAAAAAGGCCGGGCCGGAAGAGGGCTGGAATGAGGGCTTGGATTCCCGTTTGCTCATTTTTTCTGGGGGAGAGGGGTTTGCCGCCAGCTGATTGGCAAAGACGCCAACGTGGGAAAACGGCCGGGCCGGAAGAGGGCTGGAACGAGGGACTTGGATTCCCGTTTGCTCACAGGCCCCGACCAGTTTCAACTAACCAACAGGTTTTCAGTCGTTCCCCGCAAATTACCTTTCAGCACGCGCTCGCCTCCGTCTGTCCCTAGCTTTGGGTGCGGACAACTGTCTAGGCCAAGACGACCGCTGATGGCAGCACCTCCGCTGCTCAGGCTGTGGCAGCCGTTGTTGGAGCACACTGGGTACATGAAGCCTGTGCAAACCGTTTCACTCCGAAGCGTGTGTTGCCTTGCTTCCAATGTCAGTCATGCTCTTTTTTTCTGGGAGAGAAGGGTTAGCCACCAGCTGACTGGCAAAGAGAAGAGGGCTGGAACGAGGCACTTTGATACAGATCGCAGGTTCCGGAAACACGGAGGTCTTCACATATATGTCTATGTCCATTTCTATCTATATATCCATCTACAACACCTCATGGGAGACTCACCTTGAAAGCTGTTTTGTTTTGGATTGTGGGACTTTGCGTCCCGTTTGTCAACAGGCCGCGACCAGTTTCAGCTACCCACAGGTTTTCTCCGAAAGGTCGATGGACTCGATGTCCGATTTCGCAGGATGAGGCGACCCCGGCCGACGAGAGTCTGGTGCCCGCGTCGAATGCGGTGACTGCTGCGAAGTTGCATGCTTTG